AGAGAAAGAACGAGAACAACTGTTGACATTCTATAATTCGACTTGATACACACCAATCACCATTCAACTAGCCAAAATTGTTTCTCTAAAAATTGTGGGAATTGTAGCCTGACGAGAATGTCAAGTGATGATAATCAAAATAAATATAATACAGAACTGAATTTTGTAGGCTATGCGTTAATACTCTGAGAGGTACAGTTGTACATATATATATGTCATTATTTTCCCTTCTAGTTTGGTAGCCCTAAATACTTTCTCGCTCAAGTAGTCAGTTGTGGAGTTCATTTGTAGCACACCGTCTTTCAGTATCATTATCATTTTTTTGAGACATTCTATGTCATTACGGTTCTGAATAGTTTGCTAACAGTTATAGCTTGCCAAAATGTTTTTCTCGGTTACTTATACATTAAATTGGTTCCATTCTTGCCAAGATTGTTGATGTAGCATGCTAAGAAAACATATAAATGAACATCTGAAACAAACTTCATGATTATTATTTTAAAAGTATGATCTCACAGTTGATGAAGAACAGAATTCGATTTTATATCAAGTATCTCGATTCAGTTTACAAGCACATGGTGGCCTCAATGTGATGACAAAAATAATTCTGGCACAGATTCAATCAAATTATTTTTCGTTGATGCATACAAATTGAAAAAGATAGGCTAGTATTAATGGAAAGCAATTGAAACAGTGATTGTGATATTTGTAAATCTTGTTACAAACAATCTTCTGGGTTCGATTGAGCAACTCCGTCAAATAAACATTACAATTTATTCATCATTTGCATTGTTGCTTACACTCATGTCATTTTCTGTTTGCGTTATTTAAAATCCAAGAAATTCATCAGTAAGTGAGATTTGAAGCAATTCAGTTGATTGATTTTATCAATTGAAAATCATTTGTATCAAGACGTAGTGATAGTTTTACACCTTAACTCGTAACACCCTCGAATATCAAAACATGCCAACCCAGTGAAATCAGATGTCAGAAGCGAATAGATTGGAAGATATATTTGGTGGGCTATCAAAATATTGGGAAGTGGCTGTCCTATGATGTCTGCAGTTTAGATGGTTATTATAAACGTAAAGCATTAATGATGAGACATGAATCATCGTATTTCTCAAAGTGTGTAGTGACACTGTATTTACTGATTTACTGAACAAAACAATTTGACAAATTCCATGATCAAATCTTGCATACAAAATATCCCCTTGATATTCTGTCGCATTGTAGCTAGACCAGAATATTTTGCATTGATACAGCGTAAGGAGTTATACAGGTTGTACTTTCACAGTTTAGCATTGAGATACATTTATTGAACTTAAAATTGACCACTACTTCAATCACAGTATCAATCACATAGATTGAGTGCATGTGATCTCATTTTCCGATAGTTAGCTAAAGGCCATTCATTCAGCCCACTCATATGATTTGATTCATTTTATGACTTGCCATATTATGTCATACACGAACTAGTGCAGTCATTTATTTTGAAAATCAGAATGGTTTTGTGTATGGTTACATGATGAAAATCTACATAATATTAAGCATCCGAATATAATTTTATTGCATAATGTTATATGTAATTATAGAGATGAACTGGAAAGCTTACTGTTTGTGCTGAACAAGTAGCAACTAGATTTTATTGTGAGCTAATTATCTTCAACACTATTTCAAGTTTTGAATTACCAAGAAGATTACTAACTGTTATAGATTAGTCAGCATAACACAAAACTCTTTTCATTTTGAAAACGAAAGCTTCGTGATTGACTTAATAATTATATCCTCAAGAATCGATGGAATATTTCACACACACACACACCTTATCAACTAGGTGGCAAGTTAAAATTCAGGCCGCAGCATCTACACTTTATAAATTGGTCAGTTATTCAATACTAAAGACTTCTAGCATGATTTGGATTTGCAAGGACATCCGAGTGTGAGTTTGTACTTCTGTGTCAGATGGGTTTAGTGTCGAGTGTACAGGGCGAATCAGGTTACGGTAAGACGAAAAGAAATTTTACAGTTAGATCCTTTGCACAAATCTCTAGTTAATATTTATTTGTAGCAAATTTGCATTTCATAGTGACGATAAAACATATGAAGCCTCCTAATAGTTAAAGGCAGTTCAATTTCTTTTTTCTCAACTGAGCTATAATCGCGTTGGATATTTGTCATAGTATGGAATGCATGCATGATTGAAATCTAAGAACTAACTATTCAAGTACAACCATTTATAGTTTTGATGTGTGTCACCTGGCCTTTAGATTGCAGGTTGCGTTAGACAATTGAGATTGAATGCTGAACAGGTGAATCTCGTTAATATGTATTGATTGCAAACTGGAAACGTGGGTGCTATATCTCACATTTTCGACCTTCACATTAAATCATGATAGAATTTCTGAAAAGAAAGGTTGACCAATAGACCGTCTCATGAGATAAATAATCATTTCACCAGGTCATATTTCCATGGAAACACGTGATTAGTTAGATGAAGATTGATGAAATTTATTTTATTATATATTCTCAAATGTGTGTTTGCTGAATCTATGCCCCACATTGCACTAGTCCGTCCCTCTTCCAGACACATATTTGAGCACATTCATCAGGAATCTCTTTTAATTTGACACAAGTGGCAGACTTTAATCAGAAGGGTGCCATTGCATTGTCAAACTGTGAATGTATTAAGCATTTATAACACAAAGCTCTATTCAAAACACATCATCAGTGCACATCCAAATGTATGAAGGACACCTCAATATCGTTCGTCGCTAACAAATACGTGAGCAGTTTGACATTATTTTTGAAATCCTTTGTGGAGCGCAATCTTAGTCAGTGCAAGATCTTAGAATATCCACCTGCCAAATCTACAGAATGACATTTCATTTTAGTGGAGAATGCACAATCTGCTCACTTGTATGTTATTATTTGTTTAAAATATTTGATGATAAGTTCCACATGTATTGCAATGCACAAATGGTAGATATCATGTTGTGTGTGCGAAGTTAGTTAGACTTGCTACAGCCTAAACTACAAATGGGATTCTGAACATTGATAGAAAAGTTCTCCTATCGATATTTCTTCACTTGTATTTCACTTTTGTTGTGTTATTTTGGAATCAAAAATATTCAGTGACGAGCGATTCAACCACGTTCGTTTGACTCACCGTTTTTGCTGTTCTTGTGGTAGATATACCTGGGCTGCAAGTTTATGGATAACCATGAACTCAATGTGCACAATTATCCTGGTACAGACAAGAGTGAGAATAATGAGCTCTTTCTATCGGTCTATTGGCCACGTGTATGCAGCCAGTTAGAAGCCTTCCACAAAATCTGACATTTTGAAAACTAACCGTTCTGTAATGTATGTTATTAGGAAATAAAATTTGCTGTACTCAAAAGTTTTTAATTGCATCACAAGATAATATAATATATGTGCATGTAACTAGTAACCTCATGCTTGCTTTATTCAAATGAAATTTGTGTTGTTTTATTTACGTCACGTTCACTGTATCTAATCATCTGATCATTGTATTCGTGTCAAAAACAGCCGTCATGGATCTGATCAGATTTATGATAACGTGATTGGACGAAACTCACAGCCACATCGTAAAATAAAAGCATAAAAACAGATGAGTATGTGATTGCTACAATTGACGTGATATCGTAGTCTGAAAGTAAGTTATTGAAAAACTCAGCATTCAATTACTGTTTTAGTAGTATTTTGTAATTTACCTGTAAAATATGAACTAACACTGATGTACAATTTGTCAATAACAGAAACATTTATATATAACAAAACGTTGTAGTCGACAAAACTTATCATTTTTGTAAAGAAAAATTCATCATTATCTAGTGGAGTTCACCAATCAGAGTGGATGAGTGTGGCGCAATGTTGAGAATTGAATGAAGTTAGTATTTTGGACTGTGAGAGGCGGGACTGGTGATCGAAACCTTAAAGACTCGACATGATTCTCGAAGCAGTCATGATTGAACACTGCTCTGGAGGTTCATAATGGGACAGCAAGTCAAATCTACTGATCATGAATCTCCCACAGTTGTTACCTGAACCCAGTCACTGATGAAACATTATGACTTGGACAATCTCCACATATATCTAACAAATATTCTATGTGTAGTAAAAGCTGTTCACTATAAACTACGATGCATTGTCAAACATCATTTCAGCAATTCACTCGATGTATTACGCAAAATGGAATCAGTATTCACCGTATGAAACAGAAATTTAAATATTCGACCAAGTGAACCTGGTCAATAAGATAGTTAAATAACACATGAGATATGTAGGTTGATTCTCTCAGAGGTGTATGGAATAGTGGAAATTTAACATACGATAAAAACCTTCCGTCAATCTTTATTATATTCTGAGGTAACATGTACAGATGGAGCAATTAGACCGGCTTTAACTTTTAGATTTTTAATAGAAAAAAGTCAAATAACCAACCATTTTTCAATATATTGATCTTGACTAACATATATCAGATGATATGTTGCTATTTTGATGATCGCTCAATCCAAACACATGTTATCGCTGTGAGAGTTTGCTTCGTCTATAGACCACCGTTTCCGTAAACTACATTCTCAGTATCTATCCGAATTTATACGCATGACAGCCTCTTAACTGAACATTTATTAAAATTCTATTTTGCCATACAGACAAATATTTCAAATGAATTTTAAACTAAATCACCTCCGAATGATGATCACAAATGCGTCCGTTGTTGTTTTAATATGTACAACTTTACTGCTGAATACTTACAATGGTATGGAGCATAAATCATCATATGAAATCTACTTAAATGAAATCGGACTGTTCAACAAAACGCTTTTTAATTTCACTGATACTAAAAACCAAACGGTATTTGAAGGTTGGATAGAGTATTCAGATAATGTTCAACGACCTAAAGCCACGCTCGTACCACTTCATGGACAGGTAAATTTAATTTATATATGCAATTTAACTGACACCATGTTTAGAATTACCAATCAGCCATATTCTTCTATCTACTCAACTCACGATCAAATGGATCGAGTTTCGCTGGCGTGAAGAGGATAAACTACATTTCGGTTTTGCCAAAATATGACGGTGCAAAAATTGATCTTCATAGACAAGGTCTAAATTCTACCTTCAAACTGATATTCTATGAAAAATGTGAGGGTACACAAAATTGTATATCATATGAATCAAATTTCCAAGTAATTTGAAATTCAATTATGTAGAGTAATTCAATGACATCTTCATAGACATCTGGCTTACGACAGCAAATAGAAATACCATTCAGCAAATTTACACAATACTGTCGTGGAAGACAGATATCTAATACACTTCCTTCAAATTTAAACAAAGTATATCAAATCGGAATACAAGCATATACAGGTAGAAATGGGACTAAACAGCACTCTGGTGTAGGTTACATCGAAATATTCACTATTTCAATATATAAAGAAGCTCGAAAGTCAGTTTGAATAAACCGAGCTTATATGGAATTTCGACCACTTGATATGTAGCACTTATTGATGCTATGATAATTTTCGTTTATATTAAATGAATTTGTCAGTAAATATCACATATCCACCTATGAGTATTGAATATTTTCACGGTTTCCTTATGGTTCACACGAACGTCATTAAAGGTGCGCTGTGATGTTACTCGTATTGCTGAAAAGAAATGCATTCAAATAGTTGAGAATATTTCCTGCTTACCTTGAAGTAACAGTCAGTTGTTGTACACACGTCGAACAACGTTTACTTTTGAGCAACAAACCAATTGATGGTATGAAAAAACACGATATTCAGTGAAGAGATCTCTTTTGAAGGGACTTATCATCAAGCCGTATGTTTGTATATAGATATGTACTGGTTTTGTGATGAATAATTGAAATGATGTATTAGTGAGTTTATAATACTAGGTCACATATTACGAATAAAAACAATAGACTAAATAATTTAGCATCGAGCCATCACGTGAATAAACCAAGATGATTAACATGTGTATGTAAATAAACATACACTTATATATACTACTAGTTATTGTATTATATCATCATCAATACTGTGGATGATTGATTTTCTCTAACGGAATCCTAGACGTTGTTGTGATTCATTCCTCAAGTACATTCACTGACGATGATTTTCAATACTAGATATACTAGAGATAGGGGGTTGAGAGGATTGTGGAAATAAAGCAAGATTTAATCAATTGTAATAATCTTGACAATAATGTAAAATAAAAATTTTATTAGCGATATATAATAATCACAAATGACTCGATCAAATTATTTTTGCTTCAAAATTTACCTTTCTGAATTCAACATTTACTGATCATTTGTGATAGGGATCAATAGAGTATCGAATTGTTAGATTGAAAGTATCCGATTGACATTGATGATCAATAGATGTAGACCTTAATAGGCACAGCTCATAATTGAGACACGAGTATGCACTTCTTTACCTTAACTTTTCACATTTCCTCCATATGTAACTTGGTTTTGATACACAAGTGTTTAACGAAACAATCTGAAGATTCGAAATTTTTCCTAAGATCAACAGTAGACCTATGATTTAGACCCATTTACTATTTGTCTTGTTCTGTGAATGTTGTATACTGAAGAACAATACTGTTAAACTTAATATGTTAGTAACAAGTCACAACTTGAATGTAGTGAGACTATAAACCCTTGTAATAAAGACACCACATGTGCGAAATAAATCACATTATGAGACATGTGTGAAGGAAAATTAAGCAGTAATAATTTTACTAGATTAAAGCCATAGTAACGATAAGGATGGGACACACATCTTTTTGTACGCATAGCTCTGGCTTGAGCTCGTGGGTGGCTGGAGTTGCGGATATCATCAGCAGTTGGATACGAAGAAATCTGGGTAGATTCGGATGAATCCTATTAACAACTTTTAAATCAAACAGAGAATCAGCAGAATGGTTACAGCCGATCAGATTTTCCAATGTTGGGAATTTACCTCCTTATTTCTCACTCTTGTGGATCCACACTGTAGCACGTTCCCGCGACTTCAATCAATGTATCTTGCGCTACAGGAGTAGATCAACTGAACTTTTATCAACAGCGCCACAAGATGTCGAGCATTTAAATCTACATTGCTGGAGGGTGGTCATGGATTCATTAATATAAAATTGTAAACCTGACAAAGTATCAGGTGTGGTGCTTAATGATCGTCAATGATATTTGGATAGAATGAGGTTAACCCTAGACGATGGTGCCAGATTTTTCGGACCTAAAAGAGAAGTAGACAGAATACCACAAATTAAATTGAAAAATTCTTAAGAATAAGCGGATACTAACTATAGACCTCATCGGTCACATACGTTCAATGCGCTTTAAGTTGTACGTTTAATGTCAAGTTGAGTTTCAAAAATGAAATATATAGGCAAATAGATAAGATTGTTATGGGTTATCCATTGGGTCCAGTTTCAGACGATTATTAAAATCAGTAGTTCAAATAACTTGTTCATATAATTGAGGCAGAGTGTGGCACACAAAGTTTCGTCGAATAGTTCATGTTGGCCTTATTAATATGAAGTGTTAACGTGAATGATTTTATAAGTGAAATGGAACTGTGAGACAAATAATGGTCAGAATAAATATAGTCAACATTGCATGAGAGAGACACAAAGAGAGAAAAATGTGAAATAAAATGTAGGATAATACGAATTTTATGGACAGATGAACTACGTTGAATCGCTGAAGCGTATATATGAGGTCAGTATGGACATTTCAGTACATAGACGTGTCGTCCATATATCGGCAGTAAAATGAAAACTTATCAGTACTAGTAGAGTGCCTTTTAGTTTGCCGAGTAAAATATCAACCAAAATATCACATGATGATGAACTAATAGCGACACAATCTATTAGTCTATACATTCCACCACTGGATTTGAAATGTACGTTCCTAGTCTGCATAACATAGGTAAGTGGATACATAGCGAGAAAATCGGTCCGTCGATGTTTGTTGAAATCATTTGCTTATATCTGAGCTTTGCCAATGATCCGTCCCGTTCTGTCTCGATCTATTATTGACATCCGTTTGTTCATTCTCTTTCTGAAGTTTTTGTTGATTATTTAAAATAATATTGATGTTGTCAAAGAAGTCTTTTTGTTAGGAAGAAAAGTTGCTCTTTCTTGATGAGACATCTTGATAATCAAATTCGTGATATTATTGTGTTCGTTGATATCCTCTCTGTGCATTTTAGTCAAAATGCTTCTGTAGTTATATCTACTATTCTCAAACTAATAGCGACATTTTGATCTTCTTACTACGTTCACGTTGTCATTTCTTGCTAACTTCTTATGTCAATTGTTGATACTCATATTACGTATTCCAGTGTGATAATCTGTCCATTACGTCATTTTGGTTATTTCTTGATCACATCCCTTCAGGGAATTAATAATTTGAGGGAAAATGATCATCATAAATATATTTACGATCCTGAATACATTTCCCAGAACGATTGGCAAGTGTATTGATTAAAATAATAATAATGCAAATGTTAAGGTGTGTGGATAAGATGAGTTTCACATACAAAACTTAACATAAGGAAAATTACGTCGTCATATCATTCACTTGATTAACATTTAGTTGAGCCCGAACTTGGCCGGGGTAAAATGAGCAGGTAAACACATTTCTTCCGTGGCAAGGTCATGGCATGTTGATTGGTATAGCATTTACCGCAGAATAGACGTACCACAGAATCACGTAGGCTGCTGTTAACGTGATATATTGTTGTAATGTGTTGTCCCAGGTTGACTGTTTCAAATTCGAAATGAGTTAAAATGGAACTGTTAACATTTTCAACGACACCTTCGCTTAATCACACTGAGAGGTGCTTACAAGCCCAAATATACATATCTCCAAAACATTTCCACCATTGCAACATGCTGCTTAGGAGCGATTGAATTGATAGATACAAAAAAGAGTGGCTAGTTGAGACAATTTATTTTTCAACAACAGAATAATCATTGTATGTATGCAGAACACTGATGGTAGTTTACCATCATAAGAAGTTTTTTGAACTAATTTGCGTAACGTTAGTTTTAGTATTTCACTAGGCGCATCGCTTCTAAATTGCGATTGCATATATGGAGACGCTTTGATCACGGTTGAGCATCCCTTATGCTTTCTTTTTTTGGTGACATGCTATTTGTAAATCTCTCTAGATACTCGGTTAATATCGGGGTCATGCACGTTGCCTTTTGTTTTGTCTTCAATCGCATCCGGAGAACATATAGTTTTGACTTCATGATTAAGTGTATTAATGGCGACTCTTTTGTATTGTAGATGAAGAAAATTAAGAACGTTTGTACATTGACCTGTGCAAGTGGGTTTCTTGTCTATATTTCTTCTTCATGATCAGTCGATTCGTCTTGTAGGTAAAACGTAAAAAAAGGCTTTTTTACCTCAATTTCGTTTCCTCACATATGATGTTTGTGGCCGGGTGAACTATATTGAATCTCTCGAGTGTATTTATTAGGCCAGTAATGTCATCACAAAGCTTAAATGCATCTATCATATAACGGCAGTAAAATGATATCTTGTCGGTCCGTCGAGTCGGTGGATCGTTTTCTCGTTTTGATAGAAATCATCAATCAGTGGATTAACTAATTGCGAAACCATTTATAAACATTAGCGTTACGTCTGAGGACATCATCTTTTGATCTTAAATGTACTTTGTTGAGTTCTATTACTCAAAAATTTAATCGCTGTTGGTTTTTCATCTGAGATTTTGATGTACTACGGTATACTACTTGGTTATAGAGTTCAGTGTTATGTTTTATGGAAATCGTAAATTCTTCATTATTTAAATCATCGAGTTATATTGGGTAGACATCCGAGAGCACTGAAAGTCTTGTTTATCACACTAAAAGAAGACAAATCTTTGTACTAATTATCTTGCGCCTGGAGACCCAATCTGTCTTCACATGGAATACGTAACGCATAAAACTCTAGGTAATTATTAAAAACTTGGTAATTTCCAGCATTGATCAGCTTAACAACATTAAACAAAATTTAACCATCTTCTGAGGGGATTCCCACTAAATCTACATACTGTAGCTAGTTACTAGTAAGGACATGATTAATAATACTATGTAGTTCCGGATGTACATACATGCATTCATTCAGATGAGAATTTCTGTACTAGGATAAAATGGCCTTTGCGTGCATCCATATATTTAACGGAAGTCTAACGAACATTAAATAGTGTAATTAGTTAAACATTGTTTATTCGTGATTACCGACTGAAATTACCCGATATATGTTGGTAGTTACTTCACTTTTGATTTTCATGGAAATTAGATTCAGTGCATAGTTGTGAGTTTGGACATGTGACTGTAAGACTATTTATTGTATTCTGTCAGTTTAGCCGACAGATCCGTGTATGTTATAAAAATTGTCTGCCTATGTGATATTCAGTGCTTTTGATCGCAGTATTAGTTGTAACTCCACAATTTTTTTCTTCGTATTGGTTTGCCATTTATTTGGTTTTCTTAACCATGCATGTTTTAGCGGTGATTAGACCTGCAACTCAGTAGCTTTTAAGTCTTCGACATTTGATTCTGATCTTTTTAGTTTTAGTGAGCTGAAGGCGCCCGTTCAATCATCCGCACTAGATCACGATGCGGTAGGCTGTGCTCAACGTCTACTACAACCGTTAGACATCTTATATAGGTCACGTCTCCATTTGTCTATAGCTCATGAAACAAGTTATTGGACCTACTAGTTTATCACTTCTGATTTCACTATGTTGGCACGTTTGGATTATCAAAGATGTGACTGTTTAAGGTGTTGGTAATCCACAAATAACTATGGCATCTTTAATGATCTAAGTGTCTGAAAACATTTCGACGAGGTTCAAAACTAATTTCTTGTTAATCGACAAACTCATGCAAATGAAATTGGTCACACTTTATTACTGATTTTTTCATTATATTAATATTAGTGATAGTGTGTATCGTCCATGCACTCATCGTTTCATAAATTAATGTGAGCAGTCAATTTTCTTTTGACTTATTATTAGAAATTCCAATACCGGTGTAATAATATAGTAATAATTTGAAATCCGATTTACGATTAGACATTATTATGAATTGTAGAAAGATACAGTTTCTTTTCAGTCTACGCCTATACAATTACGTTTGATATTGTTGATAGGACATAACAATTGATTTGTGATTGTGCGGTAATTTGAAATTCAATTACGTGTGATAGTTTGTATAATAACGATCTAGACTGCTTGCGGAAGATAAACTAAAAAATCCTATCAGCTAATAATTTAAATGAAATGAGAGACGTGTTAAGTTGTTCAGTATACAACATTCACAGAACAAGACAAATAGTAAATGGGTCTAAATCATAGGTCTACTGTTGATCTTAGGAAAAATTTCGAATCTTCAGATTGTTACGTTAAACACTTTTGTATCAAAACCAAGTTACATATGGAGGAAATGTGAAAAGTTAAGGTAAAGAAGTGCATACTCGTGTCTCAATTATGAGCTGTGCCTATTAAGGTCTACATCTATTGATCATCAATGTCAATCGGATACTTTCAATCTAACAATTCGATACTCTATTGATCCCTATCACAAATGATCAGTAAATGTTGAATTCAGAAAGGTAAATTTTGAAGCAAAAATAATTTGATCGAGTCATTTGTGATTATTATATATCGCTAATAAAATTTTTATTTTACATTATTGTCAAGATTATTACAATTGATTAAATCTTGCTTTATTTCCACAATCCTCTCAACCCCCTATCTCTAGTATATCTAGTATTGAAAATCATCGTCAGTGAATGTACTTGAGGAATGAATCACAACAACGTCTAGGATTCCGTTAGAGAAAATCAATCATCCACAGTATTGATGATGATATAATACAATAACTAGTAGTATATATAAGTGTATGTTTATTTACATACACATGTTAATCATCTTGGTTTATTCACGTGATGGCTCGATGCTAAATTATTTAGTCTATTGTTTTTATTCGTAATATGTGACCTAGTATTATAAACTCACTAATACATCATTTCAATTATTCATCACAAAACCAGTACATATCTATATACAAACATACGGCTTGATGATAAGTCCCTTCAAAAGAGATCTCTTCACTGAATATCGTGTTTTTTCATACCATCAATTGGTTTGTTGCTCAAAAGTAAACGTTGTTCGACGTGTGTACAACAACTGACTGTTACTTCAAGGTAAGCAGGAAATATTCTCAACTATTTGAATGCATTTCTTTTCAGCAATACGAGTAACATCACAGCGCACCTTTAATGACGTTCGTGTGAACCATAAGGAAACCGTGAAAATATTCAATACTCATAGGTGGATATGTGATATTTACTGACAAATTCATTTAATATAAACGAAAATTATCATAGCATCAATAAGTGCTACATATCAAGTGGTCGAAATTCCATATAAGCTCGGTTTATTCAAACTGACTTTCGAGCTTCTTTATATATTGAAATAGTGAATATTTCGATGTAACCTACACCAGAGTGCTGTTTAGTCCCATTTCTACCTGTATATGCTTGTATTCCGATTTGATATACTTTGTTTAAATTTGAAGGAAGTGTATTAGATATCTGTCTTCCACGACAGTATTGTGTAAATTTGCTGAATGGTATTTCTATTTGCTGTCGTAAGCCAGATGTCTATGAAGATGTCATTGAATTACTCTACATAATTGAATTTCAAATTACTTGGAAATTTGATTCATATGATATACAATTTTGTGTACCCTCACATTTTTCATAGAATATCAGTTTGAAGGTAGAATTTAGACCTTGTCTATGAAGATCAATTTTTGCACCGTCATATTTTGGCAAAACCGAAATGTAGTTTATCCTCTTCACGCCAGCGAAACTCGATCCATTTGATCGTGAGTTGAGTAGATAGAAGAATATGGCTGATTGGTAATTCTAAACATGGTGTCAGTTAAATTGCATATATAAATTAAATTTACCTGTCCATGAAGTGGTACGAGCGTGGCTTTAGGTCGTTGAACATTATCTGAATACTCTATCCAACCTTCAAATACCGTTTGGTTTTTAGTATCAGTGAAATTAAAAAGCGTTTTGTTGAACAGTCCGATTTCATTTAAGTAGATTTCATATGATGATTTATGCTCCATACCATTGTAAGTATTCAGCAGTAAAGTTGTACATATTAAAACAACAACGGACGCATTTGTGATCATCATTCGGAGGTGATTTAGTTTAAAATTCATTTGAAATATTTGTCTGTATGGCAAAATAGAATTTTAATAAATGTTCAGTTAAGAGGCTGTCATGCGTATAAATTCGGATAGATACTGAGAATGTAGTTTACGGAAACGGTGGTCTATAGACGAAGCAAACTCTCACAGCGATAATATGTGTTTGGATTGAGCGATCATCAAAATAGCAACATATCATCTGATATATGTTAGTCAAGATCAATATATTGAAAAATGGTTGGTTATTTGACTTTTTTCTATTAAAAATCTAAAAGTTAAAGCCGGTCTAATTGCTCCATCTGTACATGTTACCTCAGAATATAATAAAGATTGACGGAAGGTTTTTATCGTATGTTAAATTTCCACTATTCCATACACCTCTGAGAGAATCAACCTACATATCTCATGTGTTATTTAACTATCTTATTGACCAGGTTCACTTGGTCGAATATTTAAATTTCTGTTTCATACGGTGAATACTGATTCCATTTTGCGTAATACATCGAGTGAATTGCTGAAATGATGTTTGACAATGCATCGTAGTTTATAGTGAACAGCTTTTACTACACATAGAATATTTGTTAGATATATGTGGAGATTGTCCAAGTCATAATGTTTCATCAGTGACTGGGTTCAGGTAACAACTGTGGGAGATTCATGATCAGTAGATTTGACTTGCTGTCCCATTATGAACCTCCAGAGCAGTGTTCAATCATGACTGCTTCGAGAATCATGTCGAGTCTTTAAGGTTTCGATCACCAGTCCCGCCTCTCACAGTCCAAAATACTAACTTCATTCAATTCTCAACATTGCGCCACACTCATCCACTCTGATTGGTGAACTCCACTAGATAATGATGAATTTTTCTTTACAAAAATGATAAGTTTTGTCGACTACAACGTTTTGTTATATATAAATGTTTCTGTTATTGACAAATTGTACATCAGTGTTAGTTCATATTTTACAGGTAAATTACAAAATACTACTAAAACAGTAATTGAATGCTGAGTTTTTCAATAACTTACTTTCAGACTACGATATCACGTCAATTGTAGCAATCACATACTCATCTGTTTTTATGCTTTTATTTTACGATGTGGCTGTGAGTTTCGTCCAATCACGTTATCATAAATCTGATCAGATCCATGACGGCTGTTTTTGACACGAATACAATGATCAGATGATTAGATACAGTGAACGTGACGTAAATAAAACAACACAAATTTCATTTGAATAAAGCAAGCATGAGGTTACTAGTTACATGCACATATATTATATTATCTTGTGATGCAATTAAAAACTTTTGAGTACAGCAAATTTTATTTCCTAATAACATACATTACAGAACGGTTAGTTTTCAAAATGTCAGATTTTGTGGAAGGCTTCTAACTGGCTGCATACACGTGGCCAATAGACCGATAGAAAGAGCTCATTATTCTCACTCTTGTCTGTACCAGGATAATTGTGCACATTGAGTTCATGGTTATCCATAAACTTGCAGCCCAGGTATATCTACCACAAGAACAGCAAAAACGGTGAGTCAAACGAACGTGGTTGAATCGCTCGTCACTGAATATTTTTGATTCCAAAATAACACAACAAAAGTGAAATACAAGTGAAGAAATATCGATAGGAGAACTTTTCTATCAATGTTCAGAATCCCATTTGTAGTTTAGGCTGTAGCAAGTCTAACTAACTTCGCACACACAACATGATATCTACCATTTGTGCATTGCAATACATGTGGAACTTATCATCAAATATTTTAAACAAATAATAACATACAAGTGAGCAGATTGTGCATTCTCCACTAAAATGAAATGTCATTCTGTAGATTTGGCAGGTGGATATTCTAAGATCTTGCACTGACTAAGATTGCGCTCCACAAAGGATTTCAAAAATAATGTCAAACTGCTCACGTATTTGTTAGCGACGAACGATATTGAGGTGTCCTTCATACATTTGGATGTGCACTGATGATGTGTTTTGAATAGAGCTTTGTGTTATAAATGCTTAATACATTCACAGTTTGACAATGCAATGGCACCCTTCTGATTAAAGTCTGCCACTTGTGTCAAATTAAAAGAGATTCCTGATGAATGTGCTCAAATATGTGTCTGGAAGAGGGACGGACTAGTGCAATGTGGGGCATAGATTCAGCAAACACACATTTGAGAATATATAATAAAATAAATTTCATCAATCTTCATCTAACTAATCACGTGTTTCCATGGAAATATGACCTGGTGAAATGATTATTTATCTCATGAGACGGTCTATTGGTCAACCTTTCTTTTCAGAAATTCTATCATGATTTAATGTGAAGGTCGAAAATGTGAGATATAGCACCCACGTTTCCAGTTTGCAATCAATACATATTAACGAGATTCACCTGTTCAGCATTCAATCTCAATTGTCTAACGCAACCTGCAATCTAAAGGCCAGGTGACACACATCAAAACTATAAATGGTTGTACTTGAATAGTTAGTTCTTAGATTTCAATCATGCATGCATTCCATACTATGACAAATATCCAACGCGATTATAGCTCAGTTGAGAAAAAAGAAATTGAACTGCCTTTAACTATTAGGAGGCTTCATATGTTTTATCGTCACTATGAAATGCAAATTTGCTACAAATAAATATTAACTAGAGATTTGTGCAAAGGATCTAACTGTAAAATTTCTTTTCGTCTTACCGTAACCTGATTCGCCCTGTACACTCGACACTAAACCCATCTGACACAGAAGTACAAACTCACACTCGGATGTCCTTGCAAATCCAAATCATGCTAGAAGTCTTTAGTATTGAATAACTGACCAATTTATAAAGTGTAGATGCTGCGGCCTGAATTTTAACTTGCCACCTAGTTGATAAGGTGTGTGTGTGTGTGAAATATTCCATCGATTCTTGAGGATATAATTATTAAGTCAATCACGAAGCTTTCGTTTTCAAAATGAAAAGAGTTTTGTGTTATGCTGACTAATCTATAACAGTTAGTAATCTTCTTGGTAATTCAAAACTTGAAATAGTGTTGAAGATAATTAGCTCACAATAAAATCTAGTTGCTACTTGTTCAGCACAAACAGTAAGCTTTCCAGTTCATCTCTATAATTACATATAACATTATGCAATAAAATTATATTCGGATGCTTAATATTATGTAGATTTTCATCATGTAACCATACACAAAACCATTCTGATTTTCAAAATAAATGACTGCACTAGTTCGTGTATGACATAATATGGCAAGTCATAAAATGAATCAAATCATATGAGTGGGCTGAATGAATGGCCTTTAGCTAACTATCGGAAAATGAGATCACATGCACTCAATCTATGTGATTGATACTGTGATTGAAGTAGTGGTCAATTTTAAGTTCAATAAATGTATCTCAATGCTAAACTGTGAAAGTACAACCTGTATAACTCCTTACGCTGTATCAATGCAAAATATTCTGGTCTAGCTACAATGCGACAGAATATCAAGGGGATATTTTGTATGCAAGATTTGATCATGGAATTTGTCAAATTGTTTTGTTTAGTAAATCAGTAAATACAGTGTCACTACACACTTTGAGAAATACGATGATTCATGTCTCATCATTAATGCTTTACGTTTATAATAACCATCTAAACTGCAGACATCATAGGACAGCCACTTCCCAATATTTTGATAGCCCACCAAATATATCTTCCAATCTATTCGCTTCTGACATCTGATTTCACTGGGTTGGCATGTTTTGATATTCGAGGGTGTTACGAGTTAAGGTGTAAAACTATCACTACGTCTTGATACAAATGATTTTCAATTGATAAAATCAATCAACTGAATTGCTTCAAATCTCACTTACTGATGAATTTCTTGGATTTTAAATAACGCAAACAGAAAATGACATGAGTGTAAGCAACAATGCAAATGATGAATAAATTGTAATGTTTATTTGACGGAGTTGCTCAATCGAACCCAGAAGATTGTTTGTAACAAGATTTACAAATATCACAATCACTGTTTCAATTGCTTTCCATTAATACTAGCCTATCTTTTTCAATTTGTATGCATCAACGAAAAATAATTTGATTGAATCTGTGCCAGAATTATTTTTGTCATCACATTGAGGCCACCATGTGCTTGTAAACTGAATCGAGATACTTGATATAAAATCGAATTCTGTTCTTCATCAACTGTGAGATCATACTTTTAAAATAATAATCATGAAGTTTGTTTCAGATGTTCATTTATATGTTTTCTTAGCATGCTACATCAACAATCTTGGCAAGAATGGAACCAATTTAATGTATAAGTAACCGAGAAAAACATTTTGGCAAGCTATAACTGTTAGCAAACTATTCAGAACCGTAATGACATAGAATGTCTCAAAAAAATGATAATGATACTGAAAGACGGTGTGCTACAAATGAACTCCACAACTGACTACTTGAGCGAGAAAGTATTTAGGGCTACCAAACTAGAAGGGAAAATAATGACATATATATATGTACAACTGTACCTCTCAGAGTATTAACGCATAGCCTACAAAATTCAGTTCTCTATTATATTTATTTTGATTATCATCACTTGACATTCTCGTCAGGCTACAATTCCCACAATTTTTAGAGAAACAATTTTGGCTAGTTGAATGGTGATTGGTGTGTATCAAGTCGAATTATAGAATGTCAACAGTTGTTCTCGTTCTTTCTCTGTTCTCAAAAATGAATATCCTTGTTCATATTGTAGCTGTAGTAAATATCATATTATTGAAAGACGTCCTGAGATTCATAATCTGAATACTACACACTCACATACGTATAGTTCGAGTTGTGGAGTACTAATCGGCTATGTACCCTGACGAATGTCCATGCAATCCGTGAGAAGATATGATGAACAGTTAAAATTTCAAGAGGATACTATGGAAATCATAAAAAGATAAGATTTCATAGATTCATATAAGTACATTTCAAATTAACTATCCTCCTTCCTAATGTTCATAATTGCATAACACCCAGTATA